CGTACAAGTGTCGGCCTTAGTGTTTGTATCGATAAAACACGTGTCCGTGACTTTTTTCCGAGGACCCCGGTTAATACGGACACCCCGTTAATAAGGACATTTTGGCATGTCCCCTTGGTGTCCGTATTAACGGGGTTCCACTGTATTTTTGACGGGCCGTGATGAGAAGTATTCGTTTGCCGTCTGTCAAACATGCATTATATTTTGATGAAAACTGAGAGTGATGGAGCTTTTCAAGTCAACTTATGACTGTTTTCCGTCTTCGGTTAGCCTGCGAGCAGGCTCACGTTGGAGCACAAGCGCGCGCGGCGTTGCTGCGAGCGCGAAATCGAGCGGCGAAGCCGCGAGACGACTTTCTTGGCACCTCTTTACCAGACTCCTTATTATTTATTATTATCTTTTTACTATATAATGAGCCGGCGCCAACGTAGGCTCGATTTCCAGCCGTTTTGTGAGCATGGCCCCAATGATGGCTGTAAAGTAATTTTCACGTGATCTCCAGCTGATCTTTAGGCCCAAAGTCTGCAGCCTTGATCGGGACGCGACGCACGCAAACCGAAAGGAATGTGCTCCTGGTTTTCAGCAGACGTTCGTGGGGGAGGAAGATTGCTTGAAGAACCCAGAGCGTTTGCGTGAGAGACTTTGTTCAGATGGGCCAGAAATTATCTAAATTCCTATAGAACAAAAACAGGAAGTCGCTTCTGCTGGTATTAAGGCCGTAAAAGGTCATACAACGAATAAGGCACCTTTTCCCTCTAGAGACCTTACATCTAATATATCCAGCTCTGATACGGCCACACTTTGACTATTGCAACAGTGTTTAGGGAAACTGTGGGATAACGGATTACGGAATAAGTTACAAAAGCTACTAAAGCTACAAAATAGAGCAGCCCGTGTTTTGACCTTCTCAAACTATGCGGAACTATGGTTTACAGGTCTCTGCGCGGGTTGGCTCCAGAATATCTTAGCGCAGTCTTCCTTGCGACGTAAGGGAAGCAGAGTCCCTTGGGCATTCAAACGCCTACTCAAACAAATTTGATCCGTGACCGACGGGTTGTTAATCTCTTTTCTGTGCATAGTTTCTGCGCGCGGTCTGAAGATCTCGCTTGTAATTGGTTTTATTTACATATGGCTAGCTCTGTAAGAGGGCAAGATGAATCAAATCCTGCACTATGATTGGCTACCCGAGCGGGCAAGATGGAGCTATCTTGCCCGCTCGGGACTACCCGCCGTGGCCCGCAAGAAAAATTTCCCCGAAAGCCATATAATAAATCCTTTATTGACCAAGCTTGTTCAGTCAAGATGGCTGGATATTGGCCTCGTTCTTTTTTTGGCGAATTTATGCACCGAAACTCCATCTCGGTCCATAAACACGCAAAAAAAGAACTTGGCCAATATCCAGCCATCTTGACCTCACACTTGGTCAATAACCCACATATATAACACAATATTCCAGACATATTTGCAATAAACGCGATGCTATATTCAGTTTAACAATGTATCACTTCATTTTGGTAAACAGGAAGTGACTATAAACTTGAGATCGCGAAAATTACATTTGCCCAAAAGTGTCTATAAAGATAGGGTCTATATTGGCCACAAATTTTTGGTGGAGGATCTAAAAGGTAACTAGCAAAAACTTGACACAGGTACCCCCGGGGCAGTAGTCTCTTGAAAAGAAGGAACGCGAGACGACTTGTGATTGGTGGGCCCTTCAACAGGGGATTCCCCGATATTCTCAACTTATGTGCCGTACGCGCTTGCCCTTTTTCACACCTCTGCAGCGCATGCTATGGCTAGTGTGGTCTTAAAAGAAGACAAGTCTCCGATAGTACACAATGCCTACTGCTATCCTGAGCTAACCACGTTTGGCCCAGAAATAACCAAGAAGGTGCTCAAGCTCGATTGCTATATTTCAGTAGTAGCGGTAAGTTTCAAACATGACAGGCTGCATGCTTACACGTAGGCTACTCGCGCAAGCTACAGCAACTCACACTAGGCATTTTTTCTGCATGGAACAATTTCACTAGTATGTAATCTTATGTACAAAGATTGCAGATTTTATGCCAAATTAGAATTAAGATAATTTAAGTACAGGAACCAAATTCAATTACTTGAAGATTAGTGGTCTCTACGACACGAAGGAAATTTTAAACCTTGAAACAAAGATGAATAACTTAGTCAAGGCCCACGAACGTCTCGAGCGTTGGCAGTGTTTAGTTGAGCGAGCGTCGCAGTAACAAGAGCTTACTGTGATGTGTTGTTATAAGCCATTATTATTACTGCCACAGAACGGAAATGCTTTTACGCTGAATCATGGCCCCGCGAACACGGCTATGGGTTTAACCGATAAAAAATAACTCGATTTAGTATATTATCACGAATGCCGCTCTCTGATTGGCTTCGCTACTCACTGTCTATGCTGTGATAGTTAGTGAGTAGCGTAGCAGTGTGTGATTGTTAACAGAATGACCGCCGCTTCTTTGCGTTTTCGAGGTGTCTATGAAAGCTATTTAGATAAAGTTTTGAACGACTAGTAGATTTAAACTAAAACAATTAGATTATTCGCTCTCGATTTCTATGTGTGATAGTTGACTCGGGCTGCGCCATCGTCAACTATCACGCGACAGAAATCTCGAGCTCATAATTGCTTAATAGATCAATGCTGTGATCAGGTCAGGCAATTGAATGTAAAGAATTCAAGCGATTCCAAGTATCTCACGCAATCTCTGCACGTGGGTGCCATGCACCAAGCATAATTTTACTGCATAACCTGGACTCTCAAAATAAAGCTCTTGAGTTATTACCCTCTCTAGGTCCAAGAATAGATGGTAAAATGTTGTCTTCATCATAGACATACCCCTGGGGGGGTATTCCCAGAAAAGTTGGGTGGGGGTGTGCGGCCGGCTTCTCAAAACCCTTACCCTATTTATGACCAAAATCTGCGATATTCCCTACCCTATTTATGACCTGACCAAATATTCGATATCCTATTTATGACCTAACCATTAATTGAAACCCAGTTTCAGACCTGCATTATAATAAGTTCCCTAGTTCAGACCAATGTTAAATTACTGTAAACATAATTTGTGAAGGGCTTTGGTTAAGTTGATAATGATGAAAAAGTGGCTTCTTCTTAAAAACATACCTATATCAAGGCTAGAGTGTAAAAACCATACCCTATTTATGACCAAAATGGCCAAAATAGGCTAAAATCAATACCCTATTTATGACCAAAACGGCTGAGAAACCATACCCTTTGGGGCCGCACATACCTATATAGCCCATATAAGGGAGTACCCCCCTCCCTGGGGACATACCCTTTTTGTGTGTGACGTGATCGAAAGGAATTCTGCTAAGATGACTGGGCACTAGTTTAGATCCTACAGATGAAAAGATTGGGTGCTAGTTGGCCTGAGTAACAAACAGTTTCTTAATGTTGAACGTTTTCATTTGCAAATATCACAACACACACCTGAATGGAAAAAGGCTTTATGGACTTGTTCAAAAGCTAGACTGCCCTCACATCACAAATAGTTCTTTAATGAGCAATGCCTTATAACACCCTTTTACTATTTATTTTCTGAGTTCAGTGGGTCACAGCCACTTTGATTTCTTTAGGATGCTGACAGAGTTCCATCATTCTACTACTGGATTGTGAGTGGCCTGCAAACGACTGGTCACTGTAGTGCTTTGGATGTGTTGGAAGGTGGTGACTGTATTACTTCAATCAATGGAGCAAGTACTGTTGACAAAGACAAAACCTTTATTGAGAGAGTGAAACATAATAAATGTCACAATGATGTGCTGATTCTTAGAGTAAGAAAGCCAGCGAAACAACAAGAGTTTAATCTCTGGGATCTAATACCAGTGAAGCTTGACATTAAAGAAGGACTCAAGAACCTGCCTTTTAGTCTTGACATCTTTTACACGGTAATTAAAATATTACTCTATTCAATAAGTGAATAGATCAGACTAGTTTACTGAAAAAAATGTCTGAAAAATAAAGCCACGGGAAACATTCAAGACTGGACTCAATTTAACCAAGTTTTGTGAAGATCTTGACTTGAGAACATGCCACATAAAATGTGTAGACTATGAAGAATCAATTAATGTTAGTAGAATTGACAAGAAATTGTATGCCTTTGTTATTCAAATCATGATGTGTAAAGTTACTTTCCTTAAGGTGGCTAAAACAGTTTCCAGCACTTAGATTTTGATGGGTCGTTAATAATCAATTTTTGTCATCTTGTGCTACAATCATGGTATCAAAAACTGCCCAACCATTGGTGAACGTGTTATCATTTTCATAACACAATAGGTTACCATAGCAATAGCATGACCTGCTAAAAACACCCTCAATTACAGCTTTAGGCGCTTATAATTCAAAAATGGCACAGTGAAATTGTTTGACAGAATCAACATTTGATAAGCATGATATATAAGACAAAATTTTTGGCAAAGTTTAAAAAAATTCTGTGGGTAGGGTTCAGAGCCACCTTAAATTTTCAAAAATTTAAATGATTATGTTGTTATGAATTTTGAAAAGTGTAAATAAGCTGATCAGTCTGAAGGGCAGCTATTCTACAAAGCAGAGCAGTTAAGGTTATTGCTGGGTGAAATCAAATTTTGGGGAAAACATGTTTCTTTTTAGCGGAGCTAAAATTTTTGATGAGCTGTCCACCGACATAACAAAAGCCAAAGACATACAGACTTTCTGCCGCCGTACAAATGGCATTATAGTTGTATCACAATAGTTCTTAGTGGTTTCTCTTAGTATTTTAGTATTGTAATTAGATTCTTAACGCAGTTTTAGTTGTTAAAGTATAGTTATAAAGTTTTCTGTGTATATAAATTTGTACTTTTAACCTGATGTTATTTGTACAGGGCCCATATGGATACCAGCCTTTGAGCTGAATGGGCTACTCTGTTTAAATAAAGTTTTACTTTACTTTACTTTATAAAAATTTTATACATAATTCTGCAACAAATTGCAACATTTTGTTGTAATGATTACTATCCAACCGGGAAAGTCTAAAACATTTCATTTCTGTACCTGACTGGGACTTGAACACATCAAATGCCTTGATATTTCAAATGACTACAATTCAGCTGGTTCCTGCGTGCTAAGAGATATATAATTATTAAACTATTTTGCAGTACTGAAGAGAATTATGTGTTTTATATCCTTCAGGATTTAACTGACAACAGCAAAACGTTTGCACTAGTTGACAAGATTTTGCAACAGAGGAAGGATCTGAAGGGTCTAAAACGAGGAGATAAAGTTATTGAAATCAATGGGCACATACTTCAAAACAAGACACCTGAAGAGCTCCAACATACTATTCACCAGCTTCATCTACAGGAGCAGATCACACTAACCTTTGAAAGAAGGAAATGGAGGCAGAATGGTATATATGTTGCCACATAAAGGGTGTTTTCAGTACAAAACGTGGACCCCTCTATCTGGACCTCCCAAACAGACCCTATTTTCAAGGTCGAATAAAACTGGTCAGCGGTCAAGGTCAAGAGACAATGGCGGACATGATGGTGTGCCATACCTTTGCTCTTTTACGCTTCTTTCCACGAAATTTGTTACTCCAGACAGAATGTTGTACGAATATTTTGTTCATTCTTCACTTTGTCCTTCACTGCACTGATTAAGTAGACTTCATCATCGTATAATTTAAATCAGGAGCCCATATTTTCTTGAAGAAAAAATAGGAGGTCCAGATGGGGGTCCAGAAGGGGTCCAAAAGAGGGTCCAGAGAGAGGGGTCCACATTTTGTACTGACTCGTGTGTACACACAATCGTGCATTGAGTGGCATATAGCTTAAGCTATGACAAATATGTGTTGTGGGGGTATAACAGCAATGTAGTCAGTTCCATACAAGATTTGTCCTGTCTTTGATGCCATGCAAATAATATTAACTACAACATCAAGCACAGCCTGTACCTGTGCTTATACATGATGCTGTTTATCGTCACTTCGATGACAGGATATCAGTTTCTTTTTGTGAAGAGCTGACTGTCACTGTTTTTGAAGCAGGATTGAATCAGTGGCAGATCTAGGAGAGGGGCCCGGGAGCCTGCCCCCCCTTCTTTTGGGTAAAAAAAGAAGAAATCACATAAGGAAGAAAAGTTGGAAGGGCAAGCAAAACAACCCCCCTCCCCTCTTAGCTCAGGGTCTGGATTCACCACTGTGAATTGCTATTTCCTGGGTGGAAACTGCAGACATAAAGTATAAAACTATCCACCACCCATAAAGCAGTGTAATGCAAATCGATGAAAATGTTGTATGTTTTTCTGTTATCTGTTTTTTAAGGATATCTCACCAGACATGCCATTGATTCACCACCATGTGTGGCATGGAGAAGTCTTCAAGTTGAGTTGAGGGCAGTTAAGAGCAATCCAAAGATGAATCCTGGTCAAAGTTTTTTGTTTGTATTTGTTGAGGTACTTAAATGAATAAATCTTCTTAAAGTGCTACTATGCTGGCAATATTCACATCTTTCCTATTTGAGCCAATTTAAAACATAGACAAGTAGTCTGTACAAGAAGGAAAATACTGTTTACCATTTTCAAATATCTCTTCTCAGTTACAAAGATATACTCAAGTTTTAAAAATATGCAAAATTATTAGTCAAGTGATCGTATCACAAACTCAACCAAATTTTGATCAAATATGATGAAGAAAGATATCTCAGCCAATTTTGTATCTGAAATGGTTGATTCTTGGCAATAAGATCTATAGTCTAATTAATTTGCTCCCCAATATGAACTCAACAGTTTTGTTACCATGGCAACATACTGGGTTCCAGACCTCTCCATTATTAAAGACTTCTCAATTCTCGTCCCCATAGCGCTTTTCGCTTCTCTTAGCTGGCGTGGCCTCGGCACAAGAAACGAAGGGCTCTGGGGACATCAGGATTTTCAAATCAATTTGCATTTTTTTGATTGGCTGTTTGAAAACAAAGAAATCTTGAACAGAGTCATAATGTTCGTGCGGATTCCAGGCGCAAAAATATCAAACAGCTGTGACCAGCCATGTTTAAAAATGGAGAACATGGAGTATTTGGGAGAAAATTCTCCCAAAAAATAGTGTTTACTTCACGGCTCAACACTTGTTGCTTTTGCAAAAAAAACGGTTTTTGTTAGAAACCCTGGTTGATATTTTCAGCGAGAAAATCAGCAAAGATGCGGAAATTTTAAAGGTGCTTGAGTTTTTAACTGGGTAAGAAATTAAGCTTAAGTTTGGTGAGTTTGCCAATGAAACTGTGCAAACCATGCTGCAAAAAGGTGAAGAATATTATAGAATTCTGTTATTTGTCGCTGGCATCACTTTCTTTGCAGGAATTGTCTATCGGAGGGTCTCATGTGAAAAGAGTCCATGGCTTGCAACAGGTTGGAGAATCACCCTCCTCCAGTCAGCAGGCAAAAAAGAATAGTTTGAACTGCAAAAGTGTCAAAAGTGGTAAAATGTGCCTTTTCATTGAGGGTAATCAGCATCATGAAAAAAATCTCCCTAAGTTTAGATCTATTGCTCCACAGCACCTTGCACAATTTTTACAAGTTGGAACCGTTTATAAATGCGGGCTTAGGGCTGGTGTTTCAGAAAATATGTCTAGAATATATTACTGTATTGCCCTTGGATAATAGTGTGCAAATGGTTTTGTTTCTTGTTGATTAATTGTTAGCTATTTGTTTTTTGCTTTGGCATCAATGGGAGGCCATTAAGAAATTTCCACTTTTATTTAGTGGATGTTCCAGCTATGTACATAAAGTTAGGAAGTGTGCCTTTTACAGGGAGGTACAAGTTTCAATGGTTTCTGCTGCAAATTACCTGAGATAGCGCTACTTATATACTTGATGTAAAATTGGGTTGAGTGCATGATGTCATCAGTCCTCTCATTTCCATTTGTTACACACTTTTCAAACTTAAATATCTCTGGAACTTATTACACGGATATTTGTAAATGGTAAACAATGCATTTAAAACCAAAACTTCTGGCGGTCAAAATTTGATCATAGAAGAGCCATGCATATTACCAGAAGACAATTCTACTGGTCTCAATTCTCTTGCTCCGCCTAAACCATTCCTTTATAACCTTCAACAGACTGACTGTTTCAGGTGCTTCAAATTTCACATACATTTGGCCCTCGCAAAATTTCAGAGCTAGTACTGGCCTGTATTGTGGAATCATAAGCAATAAGTAGGCTATTAGTTATCTCTAAAATACAGGTGTCACAAGAACTATGACTAAGGACTTAAGATCTGAAAGACCTAAGACCCTCTCCAAAACTCAAAAACTAAGACCTAGGACTCCTTTTAAATCTCAAAAACTAAGACCTAAGACCCCCTCCGAATCTCAAAAACTAAGACTGAAGACCCCCTCCAAATCTCAAAAACTAAGACCTTAGAACCCCCTGAATCTCAAAAACTAAGACCTAAGACCCCCTCTGAATCTCAAAAACTAAGACCCGACCCCCTCTGAATCTCAAAAACTAAGACCTAAGACCCCCTCTAACTCTCAAAAACTAAGACCTAAGACCTCTTTAAAATCCCAAAAATTAAGGCCTAAGACCTGGAGATTAAGAGGGGGTCTTAGGTCTTAGATCTTTGGTGTTAGTTTTTGAGACAACCCTCTAAATGCCCCGGGGGATTCCCATATTAGGGAGTTTTAGCAATGACGACGGCGATGCTGCTGGACGACGCCTTGTAAAAAAAGTCTTTATATTTTACCCTCGAATGTCGCAACTGTGTAGATCTGTTCAGTACGTCTATTGGTCTAAAAAGCTGCTCGGGGTAAATATGCAATGACAGCGTTCAATTCCAAAGGAAGACATGAAAAATTAGCCATTGCGGCACACATTCTCCAAAATACGTACATCTTTGTCATTTCACATTGTTCTTTTGCAGAGGACGGCGAAGAAAAGTACCAAGAATTATAACGCATGTGCAGAACCATTGTTTTGCTCATTAAACCTTTTATTTGGTGACATTCCCCATGCCGTCGCCGTCTTGGTTTGCTAAAACTCACTTTTCAAAGGACAGCGGGATCCACAGCAGGAGCTTTTACAGTACCTTTCAGGGTATTGAGCTGAAGAAATATGACAAGAGATAAGGTGTTGTTTTAGAATTGGAACCCTTTATGGATGAAAAGAATTTCAAGCCACACTCACAAAACAGGATATTGGTACCTCTTAGGGGAACCTTCTTTTTAAAATTTCCGATGAGCATCCCTGTCCTTTTTATTTGGGAGTCCCCCCCCCCACTAAATACACTCCAATCATCATCATTGTCATGATGTCACCACTGTTCCCTCAATTGGGCTTGAAGTACATAACAGGCCTTTGGATCCAGAGCTCAGCACATTAGACTACCAACCATCTATCAATAATTTATGTCAACTCCAATATTTTTGTACAGAATCAGCTTGAACAACCCTGCGCAATTATCACACACATTTTTGCTGGTCAGACACCTGCTGCGATGTGCCAATACCTCAACCCAGGATGCAAAATAACAGCAATTAATGGAGAGTCAGTTAAAGGTCTCAGTTACCATGAGATGATTACCAAGCTAGAGAGAGCTAAAACGTCAGTGGTGTTATCAATAGAGGAACCCACGGATTTTCTGCTTGAAGAAAGTTCTCTCTCTTCCAGAAACACATGGCCATTAGAGACAGAACATGAATGTCTAATTAAATCCCCTAGGGAAGGACAGATTCACTATACTTCCAGTTCTATAGCAGACAAGAACTTGCAAAGAACTGATTTAACATGTAAACATAAACAACAGTCCACAAGCGATGTTGCCTGTGATGCCAAACCTGTGTCTCTGTCTGCATCTGGGTCCATGCCTCCAGCGTCAGATTACAACACAGGATTTAATGATGGAGCAAGCAGTAGCCCTGGCTGCAGAAGCATACATCAGGAACCAGGCACTCCACTGCTTGTGCCCTTAGAGCCACATGATCATGAAACACCAACGGAGCAACACATACGTGCTTCCCAGGACTGTTTGCCAAATACTACACCTGACAAACGAAAACAAACTATTGATCATATTCCAGGGAAAATCTACCATTGCCTTTGCACAAACCTGGATATCCTAAGCAGAGCCTTCGATGACTACCGCCTTTTGGGTGAGAAGCTTCAATTTCCTCCGCAGGAGATTTACAACCTCAGTAGTAGTAAACAACCTACCTGTGAACTCTTAAATACATGGCTCAAACGAAAGGGTAATGAGGCCACCGTTGAAGTGTTGTTGGGTGTTTTCCATGAAATGGGGCGGCAGGACTTGTGGCAGTTATTGCAAAACTGGGTGAAAAACTGTGCAAATTAAAGGGTTAGTGCTTTGCAAAGCAACAAGAAAATGTAAGAAAAATCTTGCATGTAAAAAAACTTTATTGTGAGCAAGAAGTTGAGTAGCTACAATGGGTTAAATCAAGAGAAAAATGATATTCTCTTGGTTAAATTACATGTTCAGTAGTAGCTAATGTGAGACTAACTATTTAATTGCAGGGGTGTGATATAAAAGGGTAGCTTTTTTCAGAATTATATTTATGCTGTCTTTTCAGTAATCTCTGAGCCTGGAAAAGTAATATTAGTATGGGCAACCTGTAATTTGAAAAAAATAGAACCATTGTTTTTTGGCAGAAGTCTTTGTGAGAACTAAGTAAGCAACTGGGTCACATTTTAGGCTATAAGGAACAACGGAATGGTTACATGTATTAATGTTGAATAGGATGAAATTATAATTTTGTATCATTTTTACTCAGCTTCGAACAGAAATTGCATGTGGTCAGTCAGTAAACACCCTGTATTATCAGTGTTATCCAGCAAAACTAATTCATTTTCAAAAAAGTGGCATTATCTTTCACAGAAAACAATAAATATGTTGTGAGAAGTACTAACTGTATAGTATATATTGTCTGTCTTCTAATAAACAATTAGATTATAAGCTCAAGATTTCTATGAGGTGATAGTTGATAAGGTATTTGGCCTCAGCAATTACTATCACCTCATAGTTATCGAGAGCAAATAATCTAATTGTTTTCGAAGAATTCTAACAACAATTTCAAATAATTCAAAGCAAATAACAATTTGGAAACCCTTTCTCAGCATAGCGAATTAAACTTCACGCTCTAGAAAAATCAAACAAATTGCATTGCTTTCTGAAACTTGCACTTGTGCATGCATGCTCATAATTTAGTTCATTGAGAAATGTCACATAATGGTCAGTTTCCTTTCTCTCATGTTCTTGAGAATTTCATCATCCAGTAATATTTATGAAGTATCTTTCTCAAAACATTAGTTTAACAAAAAAACATTGCCAACATTGCAATTATGTGGACGACCTGCAGCCACTTCACTCTAATAGCCACTAGTATACAAGTAGCTCAGCCAATCAGATTGCATTGGTATACTAGTAGTCAAGGTCCTACTATAAAATACTTAATGTTGGCTTATTTTTACAAAAGAAACACCATACAACGTAGTGCATTATAAAGCAGCATATTGAAACAAATTTATATGTAGAGTAAGTAGACATAATATTGTCAGTGCAAAGTAGAATAAGAATAGTACCTTACTATACAAAAATAATACTTTTTTTATTTTTTATTTTTTAGAGCAAAATAATCTATTTGTATAGTATATAAATATTAATAATCATACTGAAAGTAGAGAGTATTGTATCTTACTGTGAGTAAGTATTATAACCCACTTGTAAGGAGAGTTAATGTTGTATTATTTTGTATTATTTGTACATAGCGTAAGTATTGCTAGTATCATAATTTTGTAAGTAGAGCAAGTATTGTAATGTAAATATTGCAAGTATTGTTCTGAAAGTAATGTAGGTATTTTTCTGGAAGTAGTATATTGTAGGGAAAGTAGAAAATTGAGAAAGTAGAGTGCTGTATGGTAAGTAATGCGATGTGTTTTCCAAATTAAAATAAACGGCACGCAATACATGCACAAGCGATGAAGTTTAAAAATTGTTCCTAGAAGATTGGAACATGAGCAGACAAACTGATTCTTAAACTTTTGGGTTAGAAATTTTAGGGGTTTACACTTAGGGTAGTCCATTGGTGGTTCATTCAAGTAGTTCATGTACCAGGTCCATCTTGTTAGTCCATGTGCTGGGGGTCAGCGAAATGTACCAACCCAAATAAAAAGCACTTCGCTGAAAAGTNAATAAACTGCAACTCATAACGCATGCAGTCACAGGAAGTTGAGCTGCGTTGCGAAAGTTAAATCTGGTTCGCGCTACGGACTGTCTAACTTAAATGATATGAAGATATATGATTTAGGCTCTAGAAAAACAAAACAAACAAGTTTAAGTAAACACTGTCTAGCTTAAAATATCAGCGCAGTAATGCGGGTCACTTTTGCTAGAAACAACTCTCCGTTTTTATGTGGTGCAAAAGCTACGGGGTCTTTGCAAGTTTATCCGTACTCGTGGTTTGAAAAGGAGCCATCATTAACTGCTGATCCTTTCACGGAAGTTAGCGTAAATCCTGAAAGTCTCCTTGAAATTGAACTGCTCAGCTGGACGAGAATATCATGTCTGTTAAATATTGCAGAATTAAAACTTTACTAATAAGCTGTATTTCTGAACAGATCCCTTCTTTGCTGAGATGTCAGTAAAGGACAATTGCAACGAAGCCGGCTAAATTATAAAGCACCAAAAACTATTCGTTTCCAGTGCCTACTTGAAGTGCATGATGTAATGTTTTCTGTTCACTGATTCGCAGAACTTAATAAACGGCACGCAATGCATGCAGAAGCGATGACGTTTAAAAATTGTTCCTAGAAAATTGGAACATGAGCAGACAAACTGATTCTTAAACTTTTGGGCTAGAAATTTTTAGGGGTTTACATTTAGGGTAGTCCATTGGTGGTTCATTCAAGTAGTTCATGTACCAGGTCCATCTTGTTAGTCCATGTGCTGGGGGTCAGCGAAATGTACCAACCCAAATAAAAAGCACTTCGCTGAAAAGTTCCTCTCTCTGAAATCAACANAGAAAATCATTTTCTCTTGACTTGTCATATCGCGTGTGCGACCCGCTTGTCTATCTACAATTGTATGTATCGAAGATATTTCATTATGAGTTTGCCCGTGAGCGCAAATTTATCCAATACTGTTTAAACCAAAATCCACCCCTAAATCTTCTTTTAAAAGCTACAATTAAAAGCACTCTGCTGAACCTACAAACAGCAAAGGAAAGCAGCTGAGGAACTCCCAGAGTGCATTTCGCTTCCACAGGGGGATAAAAAGTGCGCGACATAAGCACACGGACATGAGCGCGACAAACTATGCAAAATCACTATCCAAAGGAATGCATGCTTGCCAGCATAAAGCGATGACGTCACACAATAGGTCATCGCTTAAAAATTAACCCGTCAACCATCTGGTCATTGTTCGGAGTCACCCATTGTCAAAAAGCAGACTAGTAAGTTGCATTTGTTCTTGAACAAACGTTTGAAAACACAAAGTAGTCTGGAGCAACGAGCAGAAACAGCAGGTCACAAAAATGATTAAGAAATACCCTTTTTTAAAAGAATATTCACTTGTTAAATACCATAGCTAAAGATATGTCAATGTCAATCCTTTCTTTCTTCCTTCCACACTACGAATTCTTTTGAATCTGTTAATTACAATTGTACTTTTAATTGTGACGGAACGATAAGGAAACTTCAAGTGATAGGACGTAGAGTATGCAATATGGCGGACGAAAATACTGAGCGACGAAGGACTTTAATTTGGCGAAAAATTGACCGCCAATGGAACGAGGAGAAGGCTGACAACGGAGCAGTATGTGTTGCAATATGTTCAGGTTGCATTGGGTCGAGAATGGCCAAGTTTCTTCTTTTT